CTGAAAGGACTGAACGACAAAACAAGAGTAAGACTAAAGCCTACACTTTAATTAAATGATGAGGTTGAGCAACTTAATAAATGCTTCAGTAACACACCTTACATCCAGAAACAGACTATGAAAGTACTTGTTTATTCTTATGAAATAAAAACAGGTGATGAGGTGATAAAAAAATAAATAATTATATATATATATATATATATATATATATATATATATAAACTAACACTTAAAAGAAAAACATAATACAAAAATTATATTCAAATGTTCTATGATTTATGTTTTAAGAAAGTACCTTTTATGATGCATTTTCACATTTTAAGATTAATTGTCTGGATCTGAGAAAAGGGTAAAAGAATAACATCTATAAATAAAAGACATTTGAAATGGCCTTCATTAAAGTGACCTTTATCTAACAAAAAGAAAAATGTTGAAATCTGTTTGATTTAATAAAAATCAACCCCTGAGAGATAAAACTGTCCATTTCCCAGAGAAGTAACACTCTGTTATCTATCTCTTGAGGGCCTTTCGCACCACAGGAACTTTTTAATAGTACCAGAACTAATTGTTGATCTACTCACGTTTTGGAGTTTTTGCACCGCCGGAACTGGGTGCGATTTTAGTACCGGACTGCCTTTTTCGAGAACTGATGCCTTGTCCAAATACCCACACTTGCGGTCTTTGCACTTAACCACTTGAATACTTATATGACGTATTTCCTGTATTTGGCCCAAGTGTTCAAATGAGGATGAAGACCACAAGTGTGTGTCGAACTTTTCATTACCTGATGGGACACACTTATAATGCAAGTGTTTACATAGCTTTATTTTAATTTTAAATACTTTGCATTTTAAAATCAACTTCTAAATGTCTGTTCAGTAGTCCCTATAACATGACATAATTTTAATTTGTGGTGCTTCTAATTAAGTGATAAAAAGCAGTTGCAAATGTTGTACAAAATAAATATCACCACTACTCATCTTTGCACCAAAAAAAACACAGTTTTTCTACCAAATTATATGTAATATCTAATTATTATATTAATATTTAACTTGCATTGGAAAGGTTTCTGTGACCTCTCGTGAGATCTCGGCAAAAAGTCTCACGATTTATTTCCAGAACAGCGGTATTCGAGATAGTGGGGATTTAGTGTGCTTTAAGGGCATTGCGCTTTGCCGTTTTTACTTTAGTAAAAAAAAAAAACAGTACTTTAGTACTGTACATTTAGTTCTGGAACTAAAGCGGTGCGAAAGGCCCTTTGGTTGCTAACAACACAGATTTATGTTTGAGTCATCAGCACTGGCTCTTCATCATCACAACAACTTCAAACTCATTTCTCCAATATTCTTTTAGCCTAGAAATGTCACTGGTGTGAAAACTCTCTCACACAGCTGTGTTAAACAAAGGGCTGCGTCTTCTATCCAGACTGCTAGCTAGGAACCACTATGACCACATAACGGTCCACTTTCAACAGTTCCATGTAACTAGCTGCTGCACGAATGAGCAGTTGAAAAAAATGAAAGGACATTTCAAACAAAAATCACGAAATCTTACATTCTCACAGCTGGTCATTTCGAAGGTGTTCAGTGTGTTCAAAAATAATTGCTGAAATCCAGAGTTCCTCAAAGCAGATGTGCTCTCTTTTTCAAACCTCTTTCATCACTGCAGAAACACTTTTTATCCTCCAACACAGACTGTATTTCCATTATATGGAATCAATATTGGTTTCCATTAGATTGTACCTGATGCACATTCTGCATTACACATGGACATTTTTGCAAATCTAGACATATCTATAACATTGCAGATTTTGATGAATGTTACCTTCAACAGTTAATCTACAATAGAGCTGCAGTTTATATTTACAGTTGAATTCAAAAGTCTGAGGCTACTGGTATAAATAAAATGCTTTTATTTTGTCTTTACAAATTATAATGCCTATTATCACTATTAAAATAATGTAAGTGTTTTTTAATATTTCTTTTGTTAAAATCCTATAGCTTTCGGTTTATGTCCATAATTTTTTTAATCCAGATTTTCACTATAGTGATCTCAGACACGAATATGCCAAATAACATATAGGTATAATATAAAAGGACTATTTGTTAATAAATGAACAGATTAAAAATGCATATGCACATCTCCTACAATTAGGATGTAGTTCGAATCAATGATTGAGAGTGCATCATATGAAAATAAAAAGGTTAGCAAGACTGAATGGAATAGACATCTGGGAGAAATTTATTAAGATCGCCATTTCAGAAGAAGAATGATTTTCAACACATTATTATTATTATTTATTTTATTGTGCCTGTTCTGTTAACCTCTGTTTGGATTGCGTTTATGTTATGTATAAGGAAACCCAATAATATATATTTTAAAATGCACAATATATAGTGCCAGGCAAACAGTTTAATCTAACCTTGAAAAGTAGTAGTAAAGTAAAGATATTTAATATTTGTAACATGTTCTATACAATTTAAAATTAAGAATTGTATCATTGTTTAAAAATAAGAAATTAATATTATGATCATGATTAAGCTTATTAACTAGCTGGTTATTGGTCAATATCTTTTAAGTAGGGGTGCAACGATTCTCGGTAAAAAATCGAACCGTACAGTTCTCCACACACGGTTCGGCATGCACTAGGACCACGGTTCAACTTAAATCTGACAGTGCATCTGTAATAGGTAATTATCTGTAATAAGTTTGTTAGAGTTCGGCTAATGCATGTTTCTGTTGATGGATACAAATTCTGGCTTCCCAATACATTACAACAAGAGCGATGAGAGAGAGAGAGAAAAAAACAATACGTGGACAAACAAGTCACTCTTTGTTCAATGCGAGTGCTTTATGCTGGAATAACTGTCATTTATGCTGCCATCACGTGTTGATAGCGCAGGTGAGACCTGAACAGCACACGTTGCTATCTGTGTTTAAACTAAACTCATTTAAGCCATGCCAGTTTAAATATTAAAGAGCCAGAAGACGTGAACTTGCGTGCTGTATAAATTAATCTTTAATTTATACAGTCAAATATGCAATGTTATTTTACATTTGATTACTTTTATTCAATTTCTGTACCTAAAAACTAATGTTAGACCTACTAAAAAACCTGAAAAGCACTGTTTATTTTATTTGTTTATTTATCTTTGCTCTATTGTAATTATTTGTGCTGTTGTTTGTAGTTAGATTATGTGTTCTTATTTTCTTTATTTTTATTTGACAATACAGTTTTTTCCCTAAACATAGCACATACTGAACCGTACCGAAACCGTGACTCTAAAACCGTGATACAAACCGAACCGTGAGTAAGTTGAACCGTTGCACCCCTACTTTTAAGATTAAAAAAGTTAAAGTGACAAAATTAATAAATTATTATATAAATTGTATATAAATATACATTTTTAAAAACTAGGCTAAACATAAATTTCTAGAACTTTGCACTAAGACATCCTTTGTATAACAGGATAATATATGTCTGTTGAACTTTGGTTGCTGCCAGACTTTTAATGAGTTTAATTAATAGTTCCTGGTGGGATGTGACTGAGACAGAATTCTCAGATAAACAAGTGTGACCTAATGGCAGTCAATGAGTCTGATTTGCCTCCTAATGAATTAGCCATTCCATCCACTCAGAGCAGCGGTACTGCATATAAAATCTGACCCCCAGTCACCAGTTGTTTTGCATTTATATATACTATACAAGATTGCATTGTCTATAATTAGTTTAATGTCTGAAATAACTAAATTCCTTTAATCATTCTATGAATTCTACAAAACATGATATTAATGTTTTTAGCCACTTGTACATCCATGACATCATACCACTAAAATCTAGTTTTCTAGAGGGGAAAAATGTATTATGCCTTGAGAATTCTGATATCAAAGAAACTACTCTAGTGAATATGTGTATGGCAAGCCGTTTTGACTTTTATTCATTCTCAGGATATGAATTCTTGATATCAACAATTACTTTTCAACTAGTAAAAACTATAATTCTTGATATCTGTAATTATAGTTTTTACTAGTTGAAAAGTAATTCCTGATATCAAGAATTACTTTTCAACTAGTAAAAACTATAATTCTTGATATCTGTAATTATAGTTTTTACTAGTTGAAAAGTAATTCCTGATATCAAGAATTACTTTTCAACTAGTAAAAACTATAATTCTTGATATCTGTAATTATAGTTTTTACTAGTTGAAAAGTAATTCCTGATATCAAGAATTACTTTTCAACTAGTAAAAACTATAATTCTTGATATCTGTAATTATAGTTTTTACTAGTTGAAAAGTAATTCCTGATATCAAGAATTACTTTTCAACTAGTAAAAACTATAATTCTTGATATCTGTAATTATAGTTTTTACTAGTTGAAAAGTAATTCCTGATATCAAGAATTACTTTTCAACTAGTAAAAACTATAATTCTTGATATCTGTAATTATAGTTTTTACTAGTTGAAAAGTAATTCCTGATATCAAGAATTACTTTTCAACTAGTAAAAACTATAATTCTTGATATCTGTAATTATAGTTTTTACTAGTTGAAAAGTAATTCCTGATATCAAGAATTACTTTTCAACTAGTAAAAACTATAATTCTTGATATCTGTAATTATAGTTTTTACTAGTTGAAAAGTAATTCCTGATATCAAGAATTACTTTTCAACTAGTAAAAACTATAATTCTTGATATCTGTAATTATAGTTTTTACTAGTTGAAAAGTAATTGTTGATATCAAGAATTCATATCCTGAGAATGAATAAAAGTCAAAACGGCTTGCCATAATATGTGGGAGTTTCAGATTAGCTTATGAACAACTTCAGACACTGAAGTGCCTCGAAACATTCGCTTTTGCATCGATGTTACAGCCCATGACAGCCCATGACTGAGGCTGACAAAATGACAAACGACACTCTGCACTGTTCTACAAGAGTTACAGCTGTTGCTTAATGCCTTGAAGTTCATCAAAGTATTTTGATGGTGATTTCAACTTACCCTCATGAAGATCAGAGAAGTATCTGAAGTAATTTGGACATGGAATAACCACATGTTCTCCAACTTTGGCTGATGGCCAGCAAGCAATAATATCCCACATCCCTTTGCAGCCTGGCAAAAGAATAAAGAACAATGCTTAACATTAACTCAATATCATATTACTCAATATAACCCTCCTGATGTTGTACAAAAGCATAAAACATCATTTAGATTTGAGTATAACTAACTACTGTATGTATTAAGAATACTTTCTATACATATTGGTAACACTTTAAATTGATATTTTGATCAATTGATGACACTAACATCCTGCAGAATGTTTTTTTAAAAATTCATTAGTCTAGAACACTGTCTAAATTTAACTGAGGTTTATTTAAAAGTAACATGAGGGTTCTAAAACTCCCACTTCCCTCATCCTTCAGTTGGACACCTGTAAGCACAATAAACTGAGATACGGTATCAGCTTATTGCTTTTCCCGTAATATTTTGAATATTTATGGCGTTCCTCATGCCCCCAGAATGCATCTGTCTGATTCATGAGGCAAGGTGAGTTGGCTCTTGACTATGAATGCGGAAAAATGACAGCTAGTTTATCTTATTCATCCTCTCCAAGCTACAGAGGAATATTCCAGAAGCAAGTGGCCAGTTTAAAAATTCACCTCATTCAGGCACTAAGTATATGCATGTGAGGATGGGTCAGCACATAGATTGTAGACATTTAAATGTAATCATCACAGGATTGAGGTTTAAATTGAATTCAGACAAATGTGCAAGTCCAGCTGCTGAAAGCTGTTTATGTTTAAACACACTGACTAGGGAACTCTGAAGAGAAAATGTACTGTAGAATGTACTGTCTTGGTTACTAATTCTGGGCTAATAATACAGGTTAGCTCCTCTACAGGTTTAGTTCAACTTCAAATGTTGTTGTTGAATAGAACTGGTGTAAAAATGAAGGAAAAACTATTTTACAAAATGGAAAACCACATTATTTTTGAAGGATAAGGGAAATGGTAATCTGTGTCTCAATGTTTAGATTCAGTGACTGAAGATCATGAAAGGCATGTGATTGCATCCTAATGCTCATGAAACCAATCTTGAATGAGTTCATCAGGATTTTCACCTAAAATATAGGGGAAGGCAACAGTGTTTGCACTATAGGATGTATTTGGTTTTGCAAATTGCCCTCCTTGACCATTATACAACCCAAAAGAAGAATCATCCCACTTAATGTCTTCCAAAAGATGGCTGCCAATACACTACAGCTCATCTGCCAGTGTATAACAGTTACCTACAGATGGGCTGTACATGAGGGCAACTTATTTCCAAAACAAAATCATTCAGGTGTAGATCTTGCACCAGTTTACAGTACACTGTATATGTTTGCTTTGCAAATAAGTGGTTAGTGAATGGCACCTAACCTATATGCCATAAATTCTGCTTTTTCAGAGTTCACATTGTATCATTTATGATGCAATTCAGTAGTAATTTTTAAGGCTGGATATTTTTTGTGCCATGTTCAACATTACGCCAAATAAATTCATGTTATTGATACTTTCATGCTATTCAAAATTCTACACATCACAATAGAATCCATTTCTAACTGCAATAACTATCAAATAATCCCAGCAGACCTTTGAAGATTCACATAGATTGTTAAAAAATTCCCTCTAGATTAATTAGCTACCAAGCTTCTTATCCTTAAACCCTGAGAACCAATCCTATCAATTAATGCCTAAATGTTCTTTACCTAAGAAAAAAAAATCTACCGCTGTTTCAATGCACAAACTAAAAAACAATGTACACCAGGAATACACTGTAATTCATGTTGGATAAAAGCGTCTGCCAAGTGAATAAACAGAAATGTAAACTATTGTTTAAACCAGTGGTTCTCAACCTTTTTTTTCCACCGGGCCGCACTATGGTCTAAGTGCCAGTCTGGCGGGCCGCACGCATATCATTTACATATTACGTCAGCAATACAAACCAACCTGATTTATAATATTATAGCCTAAATATTATAATATCTAATCGATTACATTCATTGAAATAAATAAATAATTCTACTCCCCATATATAACACCCAATTTTGTGAAATTCGGCTCGAAAGGAGTAACCGCACAATCATAGGCGGAGTTTCACTTTTATGCGTGGGGGGGGGGCACCCACTGACAGACGAGCCACGAGCGCTTTTTTATATGTTCTACATTTCATGTATTTATGTAACACATATTCTACATTAAAAATACATTTAGAATGAACAATAACTGCTGTAAAAAGAGTAAAAAAAAAAAAAAAACATACCTAATGCAGAAAAGCCCCCTCTTTTTCTGAATTGCGTAGATGACCACTATCTTTCTTTCGTCTCTTCTTATACATTTTCAGTCAAATCGTTTTCTGTGTGCTAGATCAGAGCTAGAGCCCTGCATTTCAGCCCGGGCCCGACGGGCCCCGACTTTTTTACGCCCCTCGGGCTGGGCTTCGGGACAATTTTCACGTCATAGTTCAGACGCGGGCAGGGCCTCGGGCCTGTTTTAGGCTTCTCCTTATTTTTATATTTTAGACATCCATCAATTAGTGATGAAAAAAGATTGCCGCACTGGTGGAAACAACACGAGACCATTTCTATATGCCATTGTACAAAAAAACATCAAATAAAAATACATTAAAATAATAAATATTTTGAGATAGAGTGGCAAAGAGTTTCAGACTTTCTATTTAGTTTTTTAATGTACTTGAAACAAGGACGGCTTACCTTTTTTTTTACCTTTTGCATGTATGAATATGATATTTACTCAAAAATAAAACAAAATTGACAACATCCAAATAAAAGAGAATTTAAATCACACTTAAAGAAGAAGATATCTTGCAAAACAAATGGAGGAATTGTTTCCATTTTTACTGACAACCAACAATGAATATCAAACCAGAATTTAGAAGTAACCTCTCAGTAAAAGAATAGGTGATCAAATGTTTCAGGAAAAGAATAACAAGAACCACATGGGCCCACTTAAAAATGAAATATTTTCTGTATAAAATCACTAACAGGGTAAATCCTAAACATAATTATGTAATGTGTCACCTTGACCTTTGGAGCAAATGTAAGATAAAAGGAAAAAGCTTTATCTATTACTGAGGGTTCATCATCTCTCAGAAAATAGCTCTGATAATCTCCTGTGATAATAGCTACGTTTAAATTCTTTATAAATAAGTTTGTTAATACACACTTATTATCGAAGAGATCTATATTAGCCTACATATTTTTAAGGAAGGAAGAGAAACAACAGGCCTAGATAACGGGTCAGAAAAACTGCAGTACTTTACAAAAGGTAATGGTAAACATTTTTCAGTGTTCAAATTGAGGGGGGGTCCCGGAGGGGGGGGGGTTTAATGAAACTATAATACTTGAAACTTAGTGAAAATTATCATTAAATGAAAAGATTCGACTGCTAGCCTATTCAATTTAGAACTGCTCATGTTACATCATATTTTATGTGTGTTTTTTCACTGCATGATTCAGTCTAATAACATGCATTTAGAATGCTCCCAAAATTCAAAATATGTAGACAGAAAATGTAGGCCTATATACTTATTTAATAATATCACACAAAGAGTGCCATTTTTATTTTTTTTTGCAAAAATCACAAATGTGATATTGATTTTATACAACAGTTAAATAAACAAGAGGTTAATATTAACAGACTTACGTTTTAGACACCATATTGCCTATTTTTGCTCTATTTCACCACTAAAAAAATGCTAATTCCAAACAGAGCCACATCTTTAACCGACAAAATGCTGTGCGTGATGAAATCATCCCTAAAAAAACGAATTGTTGCAAAAGTTTTGGTGTATTGCAAAGAAAAAATTGCCCTTGAGCCGTTTCCATATATAATTTCACCTATTACGTAAATTATACAGGCTAGTAGCCTGTTCTTCAACCATTTGAAACAAAACTTTATTATATATCATAGGCTATTATTACATTGTATAGGCCTGCATGAAATAGTTTTTAACAAGTGTCATGAGTTGTTGTTGTTGTTGTTGTTGTTTTTTGTACTTTGTTATAGACTATTTAGATACTTGATCATCAAGCATTATTCATAAATATCTGCAGTTGTATTATCATTATTTTTCTGATTAACTTTTAGAGGAAATGTTCATTTCGTTGATTTTATTTCTCCTAACCAACAACCGACGGTCAGTAAGCCATTATTAACCGACAACATTATGTTAAATTACAATTAAATGAAATTTGATTTGATACGTGGCTGTGACCCAATAACAATACCTATATTTGTTTTCCTGGGATTAATTTTATACACGCAAAAAGCAGCATAAACAACAGAACGTGAGGATTCATATGGTCATGTCACGCACCTGTAGCGCTTCTGCAAATGCAGAAAAACATAATAAAGCTATAGGCTATATAAAAGAAATAAATAGGCATATATGCAAAATATATTTTTCTAAATAATAAATTAACAAAACGAAAGAAAAAAAACCTATGCAACAATTAGCAGCCTAAATGCAAAATTTCGGCTCATTTTTGTGATGCGCTCTTGAGAAAAAGGCATCCTGTTTATTTCCTTTATTTTACAAAAGCACAATGTTTTGTTTTTATTGTTTTTATTATAATAATAATAATAATAATAATAATGATGTTCCTGTGGCTCAGTGGTAGAGCATTGCGTTAGCAGTGCAAAAGGTCATGGGTTTAATTCCCAGGGAACACACATACTGGTAAATAATGTATAGCATGAATGCACTGTAAGTCGCTTTGGATAAAAGCGTCTGCTAAATGCATTAATTAATAATAATAATATGTTTAATTTATATAGTGTCTTTCCCAAGCTCAAGGACACTGTACAAAAGCAGTAACACAATAGACAGTCGATTCACATAATCATAAACAGTCATTTCACAATCAATTAATCAAATTAAGTGGACTTTTGCCGGGGATAGACATGATTGCAGTTGCATATCATGGCACAGTTATGTACTGGAAACAGAGATACATAACATAGTATAAGTAACAACAGAAAAAGCATAGTGTCAATAAGTAACAAACAAAGAATAGTAAATGCAACAAAAA